CATCCAGTTGCTGATACCGTCAGAATAAAGTGCAAAAGTTCTCTACAATGTATCGATTCATTTAAGACTCAAGCTTTTATGAAGCTGCGAATCACTAGTCTAGGCACTCGACTAACAACCAATGGGTTAAGTGCTGGAATTTCACACTGTCACAAGATAGGTGTGGCGCATCGTCTACTGCAAAAGCGTTGACGTGGTTGCTGAGCTGCATCCTAGCTAATCATTATCCATTCGGGTTTAGATAGAATCCTATATACGTCTCCCAGGTTGTGAAATCAAAATCTTAGTGCGATATATTTGTTTTCTGACGTTATCTAATGACAAACTCATTTTTCTGTGGTTGAAAATGGTATCTTAAACGTGTATCACATAACTAAATACGTATAACTACCTCTAATGCTTTTTAATACAGTGAGGAGTGGCTTAAAATCTTATTCTTACTGATCTATATCTAGGGTGGTTGGTTCACTAAGTTATCGGTAAGAACGCTATTTAGCGCCACTCTACAGCCATCTTTGCGTATCGTTTAATCAGTATTTTTCTGGTCAAAGCAGAGATATGAGCTATGCAAACTTTCGCTGCACACAGAGGTTTTAGTAGTTTCCTCTAGTTCCCATGACGTTAGCAATATTTATTAAACGAATATGAACCTCATTGGGAAGCTTTGGGGAATATGGTAGATCTTTTTGAGTGCCTTGAACTTATTGAATGTGACCACTATGGGCTAATGCGACAAAATTGGACTTCGTATTGACTTCGCTCATCCCTTTCTTACCCTCGTACGTAGACGGTCAGTAACAGGTTTATTAGGCTACTTAGTAGTATATTGGACATAGCTTTCTCTACAGGAGCAGGTGAATTCGAAGACAGAGAAGTGGATAAACTATTCCATACACATAAATATAATTATGTTTACTGAAGTGGAGGTTGAGATTTAGTTGAGAACGGTTTTGTTTTCTTGCATTTCTTATCTCAGATTTTTCCGCCTCATAAGAATGATTTGAGCTTGAATAATGTGTGGGAAAAGCCCAAGTTTTACTTGTATATCTGCCTCGAAGGGTTTCCAACCGTATGGTAGCTTTTGATGTCACTTGGCATCTTGAATTGCATTACTGAAGCATATTTACTCCTGGTAAACATTCTACTACCTACTGTCTGGTGCGTAATCAATGCATTTCTGTCGGCTTTGAATGGCAATGCTTATTCATGCTCATAGGTTTCCCACTTTGCGAACATTATCAAATCTTGTATACGATTAGTTGTTGCTTAAATAGCTTGCTAGTGAAGGTTTTGCCTCTGAAACTGAGGGATGTAGGCTTATATTGCTTAGGAAACGCTAATTTCGTTGTTGGGTTCGATTTCACCTATCAGATATTCATAAACATACATCCACGGCCATAGTTTGGTCAGAATTTTTAGATTTCTTTGATTAAATGTGCCTTCTTCTGCGTTTTTACGGAATTTTTCTGCGCGTAATTACTTGAAATTTCGTTACCAATAAATTCCTTCTTGTATCTATTCTACGATCGACGTTTCTTATCGCACATCAATGTGCCACATAGGTGACATGCCGTTCATAGTATAATATGTCTTCAATATACCGTACACTGGTTAGCTGTTGCTCACTAGTAGGTTGGGTAATTTTTTAGGTGTTTAGGTAGGAAACCGTCTCACCATTCGAGATTGTTATTATTATTATTATTATTATTTGTCCCTTGGGTTCCTAATGGAACATAAGGCTTCAGTAGCACGTCTCCATTCCACTCTGTTCTCTGAAATCTCTTGAACCTGGCTCCACGACAGCCCACAAGCTCTCATTTCCTCTTCGCACGATCTCCTCCATGTCACCCTCGGATGCCCAACTCGTCGCTTTCCATCTGGGTTCCATTCGAACGACTGGCCTGACGCGTGATGTCCCCAGTCGGCCTTCTCAGTGTATGCCCAATCCATCTCCACTTCCTTCTCCTGCATATTTGTTGAGCAATAGGTTCTTGGTTGGTTCGTTGCCAACCAGCCAGAGTTCCTTGTGCTTATTCTTTCTGGCCATCTGATCTTCAGTAACGAGCCAGCGTAGACAGTTGTTGATGAATGTCTGTGGTTTGTTGGAAATGCCTTTCGTAACGCGCCAAGTCAATGTGCCATACAGAAGCACTGACTTGACTGAGTTGGTGTTGAAAATCCGGGTCTTGTTCCACATACTGAGTGCAGATCTCCTCACTGGTTTCAGGCTAATGAACGCCTGTCTTGCTTTTCCGATCCTGGCTGCTTTGACATCCTCGTCTGTGCCGCCTGTAGTTGAAACGGTGGTGCCTAGAGATAGGTGAAAGGGGCTACTTCCCTTAAGTTTCTCTCGTTGATGGTGATTGGAGTTTGTTGTTGTTGGTTGGGTATCTTCATCACCTCTGTCTTCTCTATATTCACTTGAAGTCCCGTCTTCGCTGCCCTGCCTCTTCTGTCAACTTGTTAGTTTTCGCCTGTAGATCTTCAAGTTTGTGTGATATCAGACACAAGTCATCGGCAAAATCCAGATCTTCTAGGTCCTTTTCCCCGGTCCAGCGTATCCCCCTCTTCTCGCTCCTCACAGTTTGTTGCATGATCCAGTCGACCACAATCAGGAATATCATGGATGATAGTAGACAGCCTTGTTTTCACATCTCACTCACGTTTGCTTTTTTAAGGCTTACCTTCATTGTTGTTGCATCTGATGCTCTAGAGGAAAGCGGTTGGGTATGTTGTCATCATTTACTGTAGAATTCACGCTAAATGTTGTTTTCGTCCGTTGATAAAATCGTGACACTTCTACTTTCCAGTAAAGTCTGCCTCTTTCCATTGCTTTTATTTATGGTGAAATTTGTGAATGCTTTTTTGAGACCAGTGTATTTCACAACATTCTTCCCTGCTATCTTCAGTTTGATGATACTTTTACTTTTGAGGGTTGGATTGCGTAATTTAACTAGTGCTCTCGGATTGGATGTATTGTTTCTATAAGCAGAAAGAGATTCCATTGTAAATTTTAAGACTCTCATCAAACTTCACATTTGAAAATAATTCCCACTTTGTTAACTTTGCACTTTTCATTTCGACTTCATTACATATTTTATTCCAAACTTGTGAAACCGCTTATTTTTCTCATCTGAAATATTGTATTTATGATCCAACCCTTCTGTTTTGATCAATAACATGTTGTTATCTGTTTGTATTAAATATATTTACGTTTGTACAGCTTTACAGAGTGACATAGTCGAAAACAAGAATGTTTTTCATGGCTGAAACTGATAAACTAGCTAGACGAGATGCTCTCAAAGTTGTTAACCTGCTGACTCCGTTGATCGAAAAGTCTTATGGCAATGTCTGTCACTGAAAGGCGTGCCGAGTAAATACATCACCTTATTGAAAGCTCTTTACTCGAACGCTTGTGGGCATATTAGAGCTTATGGCGAGTTGTCCAGGGAGCTGTGCTCATCGAGTGGTGTCCGTCAAGAGTGCTCACTCTCTCCATTCTTATTCAATTTTATCATAGATATTCTCATGGAGGTCTCTCTCTTGTCACCTGATTACACAGAGGTTGACCTAATCACAGGAGAATTTTCATTAGACCTAGAATATGCAGATGACATAGTCCTGTTAAATGAAGACGCTGACAAGATGCAGAGTCTTCTGAACACTTTGAGTGGGAATTTGAGAATGTTTGGGATGCGGTTTTCACCACCCAAATGCAAATTTTTGCTTCAGGACTGGTCTTCAACGGTGCCGCGGCCAACGAGAGAGAGCGAAGTGGTTGAGTGTGTTGACCACTTCACTTACCTGGGAAGTAGGATCAACCCCGGTGGGTTAGTTGCCGATGAAATCTCAGCATGGATACAAAAGGCTCGATTGGCTTTTGCCAATTTACGCCACCTATGGTGCCGCCGTGATATTCGTCTGTCTACTAAGGGTCGCGTGTGCTGCACAACAGTCCGCTGTGTTCTACTGTACCGCTGTGAAACATGGCCATTGAAAGTGGAAGATATAAGAAGGCTTCAAGTGTTTGACCACCGTTGCCTTTGTAGTATAGGACGTATTCCGTGGTGTCACCACGTGAGAGTTATGCAGAAGTTAGGTGTAGAGTTTTAGGGAGCAGAAGTAAATCAGTGGACGAGATTATGAACCTTCATCGATTGAGATGGTTGGGACACGTACTACGTATGCCCAGTCACTGATTGCCTCGTCACACAATGTTGGCCGAAGTAGGTCCAAGCTGGAAAATGGCCCGAGGTGGCCAGACTAAAACATAACACCAATGTATGAAGTCTCTGACTGTTGGTTTGAGCCATGTAGGGCAATGTAGACTAGGTGGTTGGGGTCGGCGGGACGAGAGAAACCAGTGGTTGGAGACTATAAGGGATATGGCTCAGAAGCGATATCAGTGGCGCAGATGTATCCCCAAACACATTATCCTCATCTTAACGACGCTATACCGAATCTCACTATTTTGTCACTCCTCTTCCCTTTCTTCTCATACTTTATATTTCTTTTGACTGCATTCACTTATCTTCATCCTTCACCTCACTACCTTTCTACTTGATGTACTGATATGAGCTGTGGCAACTTGAACCGTTACGCAGTAATGCCTGGTCCTATGTTGATATTGATTGATTGACCGTTAGTATTTTGGCTCTATTCATGAGAGTAAGCAATCGAAATAAGTGAACATTATTTTTGGCGCAATCTTCCACCTTGAAAATTATTTTAGAGATACTGCATAGGTTTAAAAAACTACTACTTTACCAAAGATGAAAAATACTAAATTCTGCGTTTTTTTTCATAATTATAAGTAGTATTTTAATTCCTAAACAAGTACATCAACCAGTATAATAGTAGGTGTGAAGAAAATGATCTTGTTGGATATATTATGATGTATCTTTACTTTTCAGTCAATCATCACATTGGTTTGAACTGCTGAACGCGATAGAGAGCACTAAACAGTATTATATCAAGAAAGCTGCCTTTGAAAATTTTAAATGACTTCACATCCACTTATCGAAGCAGGTTCAACTGTTATGTTGCGCGCTATAGAACTTGAAAAGCAATTGAAGTTAACGGAAAGCTTGGTTTGCTATCAAGAAAGCATTGGATTGTTTATCAAGGCTCTTCGATCACTTTCTGGGAACACGCGTAATTATGTTATTTGTGCTAAATTCTGTTTCAGAGTTGGAGTTCAAAGAAAGACTTAAGCAAAAGGTATCTGAGTATATGACCCATGCAGAAAAACTCAAAGATAAGCTTAAGCAAGAAACAGCAAGTTTGTTCTATTTAGAGTTGGGTTTAAATCAATAGGTGGGAAGTATCATGAGCAAGTTGTAATCGAAGAAGGTGCCACTGGTTACGGTTACAAGAGAGTTTTTGGAAGGTTTCTTGAAGACGGTTCAGTTAGCAAAATTTGGATTGAAGATCCATATATCAGAAATAGTTTTCAAGTATTGTCTTCTTGTTCGTCTACAGCCTTTTCAAGATTGAAAACTTTCTCACTTTTGTGAAGTTGTTGTTCGTTCAGAGTCAAATGTAAAAAATATTTATTTGACAACAGGAGAAGATGCTCAAGTATGTCAACATCTTAAATTCCGTAGTAAACCTTTTTTATATTCAGTTCATTTTACCAAGTGATCGACGGGAAAATAGTATTAGTTGACTATGTTAAAGCAACAATAATGTGGCGCGTCTATTGTGAGATTATGAGGTAGCAAAACAGACAAAAGATAGTTCTTCGATTTATTTCAGCTCAATCCGCTTTGTTATTTTTGACATCATCACAAAGTTGAAGCCAACAAAAAGTAAAAATAAAGTAGAGATTAGACTATCTAAAATCATATAATCCTAGGAGACGAAACGAACATACAATAAACGGATTAGCTTGTACGTCATCATGTCTCAGATGAAGATAGTATGGATGCATTCGCACCGATGCAATCCATTCATGGAACAAGTTTCATGTCATTCGCAGCTAAATACTTTTCCAGTTGGCATAATGGCTGGAAATGTGTAGCATGTGTCAGTGGGAATAAACTGTAGCTCATTAATATAAGTGTAAAACTTGGCCACTGTGGTTGAGTGTGATTCCGTTTTTGTCTGTTTATTTTGAAATATCACACAGTGAAACAGTAGCATTTACTGGATAACCTTCCGGACACAATTTATTGTCCATATTCATATCAGGTAACTCCACAACTTCGAGACAGTCTTTATATATTCCTAGTCTTCTCTCCCTCTCTGTGATGACAAGGGTAGTAGAATTTTCCATATATCTGGGACAGGTACAGCATCATTCCGATTGCATGTGTTTGGTGTTGATTCAATAAACAAAGATTCGGTTATCAATTTCTCCCTTCACCCAACTAAGTTAGTTTTCAACACTGTCACCCTATCCCACCCTACTGTGTGATTGTGTGTCATCGCATGCAGAGCTATAGCCGAGTTTTTCTCTAGATTTCTTATCTTATTTCGACCTACTAATCTTGGTTTAGCTAGGTTTTTGTGCTCTGTTATTCCAATCGACCCTGGTCGACTGCTTTGACCTATGTACTTGACCTCGCAATCATTGCAAGGGATCTGGTAAACCAGATTATTTTGCTGAATTGCATCGATAGGATCTTTTAACTTAGAGAGCTTGTTTCTAAGTGAGTTTGTTGGTTTGAATGCCACTTTAATCCCAGCCTTATTGAGAATTATTCGTAGTGCTTCTGAGGTGCCTTCCTTGTATGGTAACACAGCAGAGGCTTTGAATTCTCTCTTAACCCTGTCACCATTATTACCACTAGTAGTGGGATTATTATTAATAACATCTGTATTACTACTACTACTACTACTACCACTGCTAATATTTTCCTTTCGACTTCTTATGAATTTCTTTACAAATTTTGGTGGATAATTATTGAGACGTAGGGTGTTGTTGATGTGTCTAATTTCTTGTCGCAGATTTTCCGATCTACTAGTAAGCTTTTTCGCTCTATCACTTAAGCATTTAACTAGGCCTACTTGAACTGAAATGGGGTGGGAGGATTCGAAGTCTAAGTAGCAATTGGAATGGGTAGGTTTCCTACAGACACTAGTCTCTAGATTTCTTTCTTGTGTTCGTTTAATCTTGCAATCCAACATTGCTAGCTCACTTTCTTCACTTCCTAAGTCACAGGTAAATTGGATTGCATTTACTACTGAATTTATATGTGCCAAGAGCCTATTGATGTGTTCCGATTTCAGTACTGTAAAAATATCATCTACATATCGGAACCATATTTTTGGAGAAGAACTAAATGTTTGAAGGGTTACCTGTTCCCAACTATCTATAAATATGTCTGCGACGATAGGGGATATTGTTGATCCCATGGCAACACCTTCAGTTCGTTTTTATATTTTATTTTGAAACCTAAAAACTGTAGATGTTAGGCACAATCGTACTCCTAGTATGATTTCCTCGGGCGGCAGCTTATTTCGCTGCGTAAGTTCTTTGTCATCTTCAAGCCCATTTCTAACTGTCTCGAGAGCCATGTCAATCGGTATATTTGTGTAGAGGCTAGTTATCTCAAAACTAACCATTTTTTCATTGTTGTCTAAGTGCATGTCGTCTAACCTATGGTTTAAGTTATAAGAGTTGGTAAGTCGAGACTTTGAGTATTTTTTTTATTGGATCTAACACCATTGCTAAATATTTAGACAACTCGTAAGTCGGAGTGTTTCTAAAATCTATAGGCCTGATGGGATAGCCTGGCTTATGATTCTTAATAGTACCGATATACTGTGTCCGAAACGTTATCCAGTAAATGCTACTGTTTCACTGTGTGATATTTCTAATAAACAGACTAAAGTGGAATTACAATCGACCACAGTGCCTAAGTTTTACACTTACATGAACTAATTTTTTTTAATTCACATTCAGTAGGTGTTTTCATGAGCCTAATCATTTACTTATGATATGAAATAAACTGATGCTTTCTGTTGACTCCATTTTGGCAGTATTTGCTAATATGATTCCTAATAATCATAAATCCCACCACCCTAATTAGAATAGTGTGCACCTGATCAAAAAGTGGTTCATCTCATTTCATCAGCTGCTTCTTCATCAACCACAATAGAATTTGTTTAAAACTTTTAGAGTTCTATTTCAAACTGTATAAGAAAATCAGATATATAAATAAATAAGATTAAAATGATGTAAATTTACCAAAATTTCAGTAGATTACATGAACATGTATATTGTCAAACAGACTCTTTTGTTTTTATGAGTAATTGTTAGTTAAATCTGTAGACGAATGTTCAAAATAAGCCTATGAAACTATATAAAGTAAAGTTTTAAATAGATTAGAAAGAAAGTAACAATATTAAGAAGTTCATTAAATACTTAAAACGATATGAATGTCTTAACTAACAATTTGTTTTCATTAACTTAAGATTCTATAAGTATCAGTTGGAACAATAACAATTTCTTAGTTATGAAAAATAGAAAACGAAGAAGATTAGGTAAAGTTTTTAATAATAACATCAGTCCCTGTTTTTAAGCAAAAGGAAGTATAACTTTGGTTGAATTCGTTTAGGCTACAAGGATATCAGTGAACTAGACAATATCTGATTTTCTGTGTGTTTTAACTATTCTAAAGACCTAAACCCCGTTCAATTTAAGGCTTGATATTCGAATTTTCGCAAGGTATTATACTACGAAAATAAACGTAACCCATGGAAATTCATACTTTTTATACGCTTTAGTGATTGTTTTATTCTGAATGCACATCTGACTTCTAGGTGACGTTTATCGAGTTCGCACATACTTTGGTGATGCTATGACACTCTATCGGTATATTCGAATAAAAAACACCTTATATCTTGGTTATATTGTGTTACCTGGACTGAGTTGTTCAGTCGTAGAGCTTTCATCGTCTTTCTACACAACATCGTCACCACTAACTTCAGTATGAAGTCACATGTGAGTATCTATCCGTGAGTGATTCAGTAGCTTGCTCTGACCAACTGATTTGTGATTGGTTGTTTCCCCCTATTGTTGTGCCGTTGACCGCATAGATTTTCCTGTTGGCTGTTTATCTGCTTAACCTCTGACCTTTCTATCGTTTATCATTTTTCTCATTGGTTGATAGATTGGGTCTATGTCTATACATCGATTGATTGCTGACTGACTGACCTGAATGCCAAGCTTCTAGGAATTCTCTGGTATTCTTTGTTTTTCCTCTGTCCAAGATTTCTACATTGTCGAAATTGAATTTGTGTCCACGATTATCCACGTGCATTGAGATGAGTGAGATGAAACTTCGTGACGTTTAATAGCCAGTTGGTGTTCATGTAGACGAAGGCGAAGAACGCGACCACTTGTTCAATGTGGTTTTAACCACAATTATGGCAGTTGATTTTGTAAATGATATTTAGTTTCTTCTCTTTAGTTCTTGCGTCCTTTGGTCTGCACAATATGGTTTGGAGGGGATTTGTTGGCTTAGGAGCCACACCAGTTCCAAGTGGTTTCAGTAATCTTGTCATGATCTCTGATATATTCATTCTTTATGTATGATAGAATGATGCGTTGATTAATTTCTGTCGATGACTTTGTAGCTGATGATGGACGAGATAAGCACCTTCTGATAGAGTTTCGTGTGTAGCCGTTCTTTTTTAGGATAGACATCAAGTAGTTTTCTTCGTTTCTCCATGAAGTTGTTGTGCTGCAGTGTGTTCTCGCTCTTTTTTCAATAGAGTCTGCACTCAAGTAATTTTGTGCATTGTTGTTGTTGCTACTTGGGTTGAGGATTTGGTCAGTGTGTGTACACTGTACACTTGGATTTCCAGCTTTCCGGCATTTGTCCTACTGACTAAAAGATCCATGAATGGTGTTTGATTGTTTCAGTCCTTCGCCACTGTGAATTTGATGTCATTGAAAGCGTTGTTGATCAAACCTGTGAGTGTTTTCTATATCATCTTTTTTAATGATGACAAAAGTATCGTCTACACTTTATATCCCACAAAGCTTACCCTATAACAGCTTTTAGAGCAATGGCTACATGAACGCCAACTTTTGAGGTAATCAGATTATTCGCAGTTTGACAAACTTAGATTACACGTATCTGTTCAATCTTATGACCTCATTTTCTGACCGTCAACGATACTCCGGAAAAACAAGCGCTTTAAGATTAAAAAGAAGCACTGAACTAATTTGTAACAATAACTCACTCGTGTTATAGTTAGACGCAAGAAAAAAAGGATTTTCGAAAAGCAGCCTAATCCACATATATGCACCGTCGTCAAAATTGAGTTGAAATAGTATAACAAAACAAACGATTTGTAGCTGAAAATTTGACTGCATCGACTTAAATTTGTAAGAGAAAGGGAAATTTCCTTCGAAGGTGGTGCCATGGGATCAACAATATCCCCTATCGTCGCAGACATATTTATAGATAGTTGGGAACAGGTAACCCTTCAAACATTTAGTTCTTCTCCAAAAATATGGTTCCGATATGTAGATGATATTTTACAGTACTGAAATCGGAACACATCAATAGGCTCTTGGCACATATAAATTCAGTAGTAAATGCAATCCAATTTACCTGTGACTTAGGAAGTGAAGAAAGTGAGCTAGCAATGTTGGATTGCAAGATTAAACGAACACAAGAAAGAAATCTAGAGACTAGTGTCTGTAGGAAACCTACCCATTCCAATTGCTACTTAGACTTCGAATCCTCCCACCCCATTTCAGTTCAAGTAGGCCTAGTTAAATGCTTAAGTGATAGAGTGAAAAAGCTTACTAGTAGATCGGAAAATCTGCGACAAGAAATTAGACACATCAACAACACCCTACGTCTCAATAATTATCCACCAAAATTTGTAAAGAAATTCATAAGAAGTCGAAAGGAAAATATTAGCAGTGGTAGTAGTAGTAGTAGTAGTAATACAGATGTTATTAATAATAATCCCACTACTAGTGGTAATAATGGTGACAGGGTTAAGAGAGAATTCAAAGCCTCTGCTGTGTTACCATACAAGGAAGGCACCTCAGAAGCACTACGAATAATTCTCAATAAGGCTGGGATTAAAGTGGCATTCAAACCAACAAACTCACTTAGAAACAAGCTCTCTAAGTTAAAAGATCCTATCGATGCAATTCAGCAAAATAATCTGGTTTACCAGATCCCTTGCAATGATTGCGAGGTCAAGTACATAGGTCAAAGCAGTCGACCAGGGTCGATTGGAATAACAGAGCACAAAAACCTAGCTAAACCAAGATTAGTAGGTCGAAATAAGATAAGAAATCTAGAGAAAAACTCGGCTATAGCTCTGCATGCGATGACACACAATCACACAGTAGGGTGGGATAGGGTGACAGTGTTGAAAACTAACTTAGTTGGGTGAAGGGAGAAATTGATAACCGAATCTTTGTTTATTGAATCAACACCAAACACATGCAATCGGAATGATGCTGTACCTGTCCCAGATATATGGAAAATTCTACTACCCTTGTCATCACAGAGAGGGAGAGAAGACTAGGAATATATAAAGACTGTCTCGAAGTTGTGGAGTTACCTGATATGAATATGGACAATAAATTGTGTCCGGAAGGTTATCCAGTAAATGCTACTGTTTCACTGTGTGATATTTCTAGTAAGCAGACTTAAGCTGCGGCTCATTAGCTTTTTAGTTTGAGTTTGCACCATTAGGTACCATGACCAAATCCTTCGTTATCTGTGGATGTTTAGACATCTATGTACTATCTTCACCATTCGTCCAATAAACTTAATTCATCGCCTTTTGAGCAAATACACATCTTTATTGAATTACATTTCTGGTGATATTATTATTGCAGTTATTACGGTTGTTGAAGATTCACACGCTCACCAATTGAAATGCCTCCCTTACGTAATGATCTAGGCATTACTCATACGGTGTTTCTAACACACCTAAGTGATGGTTTAAAAGCAGCGGAGACCAGATATTTGTGGACTTCGCAAACTTTTGACTTTAAATTTTTGCGTTTTAGTGCTCTGTAGCAGGATAGAATGGGCAACTGCCTAGTGCACTTTACCCATAATAGGCATTCACCTACTTTCTAACACCACAAGTGACGTAATTTTGCAAAGGGCAATAGAAATTTTTTTATCGGTGACAAAATTTCTCTGATAACTGAAATATAAGAGTTGGTGTGAGACTTTCCAGGTAACTGAAACCATAAATGCACTCAATCACTTTCCTCCCAAAGGCCAGATGCATCATCATCGCAAATCAATCTTGAAGTTAAAGTTTTGATTTGGGACGTGTAAATATCTTGACCATTCTTATATTGTTAATCATGATCTTCGGGAAACTAGATGTTATCAGCTTCAACTAAAATGATTGTACTGTCTGTTTAGCTTAACTTGACAAAGGAATCTGCGTCAACGAGATCAGTTTCTACAAAGAGAAAGAAAGTTTAATTTTAACAAATACTTGTATGGTAAAGTTGAATGTGAAGTAGGTGGAATTAGAAATGTTTACTGATATCACTCGTAAGTTCTGACAATTATTATTTTTGAAGTAAATTGTAGATATAAAAAAGGTTTTAGGACGCAGAATATATTCGAAATCTATTTGGCTTCGCATACACTTCGAGTGATTGTGAATATTAGTTACGTCACTAACCTAATACTTGTGTTAGCACTGACTACTTAAGATGAACAAGTTTAGGGAAGAAATTGACTACATCTATGGCCTAATACACCAAATTGTAGGTTGTTAAAGACAGATATATCTGTTTATCAGAATGTACAAGTAGCGGTGTATAAATGAAGTTTACGCCATTGGGTAATCGAGTTGCACCGTAATCCCTGACATGTTAAGTATGATTAATAGTCTAGTACATGAATTTGTACCGGATCCCTGAGATTTATTGATGAATCCTTATACTTTCTGATTACTGAGAATGTTTTATATTGGCATTTTATCATAGCTTTTATTTATTGAAAATGTTTCACTCCAACAGTTGAATAATTGAATTGAATTATTCAAAAACCATTATCACCAAATAAAACTAGTAGGTACGTCAGGAAGATAGGTTGTGATTGTATGTGATGTTACCTGATACCGGTGAGCTTAATCTGTTTGATGTTTGACTAGATAATACTGATGATATGATAGATATTGGACTCAAAAGTATTCGAAATCCAACAGCATCAATAAATGCCTACCAGAAATCATACAGTAACGCTGGTCCATCACCGTATAGTCAAATTACTCGACGTGTATTTAGAAGATCCTAGGGATAAATGATCTATTTTGACAAAAAGTATTGTCAATAATGATACTGAGATTTATTATATCTTTCGGATAACATTTCAGGCTTTTCTATCTGTTGGTTGGTTGTTTACACCCATAGCATAGGAACACATTTACATTTGCTAAAACATAAAACCAGATAACCTAAAAGACTTTCATATATGCCTGGCCTAACGGTAAATACTCACTGTTGAATATCAACTTCTTCGGATTGCTACCACAAAAATTCTGGGTGAGCATTGCTCAATACAAAATTGAAAATGATCAGATGTTTTTATACTGTCGCATCTTCATTAGTTAGTGTTGATACATAATGGAAATAATCGTTAAGCTGATTTATTTGTTGTTGCAAATCGCATTTTAATTGAATGATGGAATGCATCCCGGGTTATTTACTAAACCTTGTCAATTTCCCCTTAAGTAGTTATCCATACATTTTGATCCTGTACATAGTTTTCTAGGAGGATGAGTCATTCCTTAAGCCAGCCATATAGTGTTAACTGGAGGTTAAACAACATCCTCTATTATTTCGTTACTTAACGAACACATTGTGGAGCATATTATTGCACAGCATTATGTATTATGTATTACGTCTTGGATGCAATTTATTATCATTACCAACTTGATATTGATGACAGAATATTTCCGAACCTCCTCTACTACATAATACCACAGTATTGCATTCTACATCAAAGTAGCAAATTAAAGCAAAAAAATATGATACTATAGCACCGCCGTTCTACTCTCAATTTATCTTTACCTCACAGAATCCAAATGAACAGTTGCAGAAGTTCCAGATGCTGAAAGACGATTTAAACAAACATTCAGTATGCTTTCAATGGATATTTTCAAACTTGCTACATGACCGAGAAATACGGTTAGTTAGTGTATTTATTATGAGGTTTATTCAAGTTTTGCTGTTTCTGTCAGTTGAGTAAACTTTTTGGCAGTTTTTTCCTAAAATTCCAGTCGTGTTCAAATTAATGAATGCTTACTATTTATCATATGTTTATGGGCTTATCAATTTAATGATGACTCCCCTTTAAGTGTAGCTCAGCCAGTATTTTGTTAATCAAATTTCTACATTTAAGTTATAAGTAGGCGTATAATATTATTATTTGTGCGTTTTCCACTATTAGTTTTCAGTTTCCAAAATATTTCTTTTCCTCTTTCCGTGTCTATATATAAATGTGTATAATTCTCACGATATTTCCATATTTTTGTTCACAGGTTTGATAATGGTTGGATTGTCAAAATTGGTCGTGGCTTAGACTATATTCGACGATCTGAGCATAAATTCTGTGGACTAGGTGTTCATGATTATGAATTCAGGCGATGTTCTGCTACAACTATAGATATTTTCCATTCTTCTGTCATACTTTGAAATGGATTATTTTATTTTATAGAGAAAGAGATCAAAGTCAATATGCAGTATTTAAGGATATCAATGTCTTTCATTTTTTCATAAAAAGAACGTTTTGTACCAAGAATATGTATATATAACTGATTTTTAAAAAAAATCGTCTTTTTACTCAATAATACCAGTTTCTGCGTAACAGTAAACATTATTGGTGGCTTTCTTGGTAAGTTAATAACACAAATTATTGTATCCGACCACTTATTACAAGGTAAATACAATATTTAGTACTCCACTGTCTAACCCTATGGCTCTGAAATATAGTCAATCAAATTGGATAAAATTAACTGATTGAAATGGATGAACGTGCTGTGTAACGTAGCTCAAAATACATCACATTCCTAATGTGTGTATTCATTGTTTATCTCTCTTCAAGTCGAACATTTGTTGCTCTTCATATATTGCTTCTTATCAAATCATGTCGTTCGGGGGTATAAACTTTTTCTGTTAATTTTCTCTCTATGATGTTACGAAGTTAAACAACTTGAAATGTTTCGAAGTTGACAAACTATTTGAAAATCACCAGATTATCAACAATCCTTTCTTCCTTCTTTGAGAATTAGTATTCATATGTTCTCTCTTGACTGAAACTATTATTATTATTATTATTATTATTATTATTTGTCCCTTGGGTTCCTAATGGAACATAAGGCTTCAGTAGCACGTCTCCATTCCACTCTGTTCTCTGAAATCTCTTGAACCTGGCTCCACGACAGCCCACAAGCTCTCATTTCCTCTTCGCACGATCTCCTCCATGTCACCCTCGGATGCCCAACTCGTCGCTTTCCATCTGGGTTCCATTCGAACGACTGGCCTGACGCGTGATGTCCCCAGTCGGCCTTCTCAGTGTATGCCCAATCCATCTCCACTTCCTTCTCCTGCATATTTGTTGAGCAATAGGTTCTTGGTTGGTTCGTTGCCAACCAGCCAGAGTTCCTTGTTGCTTATTCTTTCTGGCCATCTGATCTTCAGTAACGAGCCAGCGTAGACAGTTGTTGATGAATGTCTGTGGTTTGTTGGAAATGCCTTTCGTAACGCGCCAAGTCAATGTGCCATACAGAAGCACTGACTTGACTGAGTTGGTGTTGAAAATCCGGGTCTTGTTCCACATGCTGAGTGCAGAAGATCTCCACACTGGTGTCAAGCTAATGAACGCCTGTCTTGCTTTTCCGATTCTGACTTTGACATCCTCGTCTGTGCCTAGATAGGTGAAAGAGGGTACTTCCTTTAAATTCCTCCCGTTTATGGTGATCGGAGCTTGTTGTTGGTTGGGTATCTTCATCACCTCTGTCTTCCCTATATTCACTTGAAGTCCCGTCTTCGCTGACCTGCCTCTCTTGTCAACTTGTTAGTTTTCGCCTGTAGATCTTCATGTTTGTGCTACAAGGCATTAGACACAAGTCATCGGCAAAATCCAAATCTTCTAGGTTCTTTTCCGCAGTCCAGCGTATCCCCCTCTTCTCGCTCCTCACAGTTTGCTGCATGATCCAGTCGACCACAATCAGGAATATCGTTGGGGATAGTAGGCAACCTTGTTTCACTCCTGTCTTCATTTCAAAAGCATCAGTTGGCTTCCTATTAAGAATTACTTGGCATGTGGAGTCTTCATATAGTCGTTGAATGAGGCTGATAAAGGTTTGTGGTATTCCTTAGTGTTGAAGCAACTGCTTGCCAAATTACTTTTTGGTCGACGCTGTCAAAGGCCTTCTCAAAGTCGATAAAGTTGAGGTGCGGAGTTGACTGCCATTCTATACTCTGTTCTATGATGATGCGAAGAGTGGCGTATCAATTTGGTCTGCACATAATTTGTACTTCCTGAATCCAGCCAGCCAGCCTGTTCCGGTCGTAGTTTTGAATGCAGTGCATCCTTTAGCCTCTCCAGGATGGTGCGGCTTAATATTTTGCTTCGGGTGGACAGGAGCGTGATTCGGCGCCAGTTCTTGCAAACACTGAGGTCTCCCTTCTTCAGGAGTTTGACAAGGTAACCCCTCTTCCAATCGCCAGGTACCTTCCCTTCCTTCCAGACCGTCTGCAATATTGGTGTGAGCATGTCCACTGTTGTCTCTGCGTCTGCTTTCAGTGCTTGTGGCGGGATTCCATCTGGTCCTGCTGCTTTCCCACATTTCAGTAGCTTTATGGCTTTCAGGACTTCCATTTTTGTTGGAGGATTTATGTTCACTTGTAGTTCTGTGGCTGGCTGCAGGTGGTATTTCTGGGTGAAGTGCAGGTGGTGATGGTGGTGGTCAATTCAAGAGCTTTTTGAAGTGGTCGGTCCATCGTTTCCTTTGTTTCTCTTCTTTCGTAATTAAATTTCCGTCATCATCTTTTATTGGTTTCATCTGTGTTGATCCCTGCCAGAGAGTAGCCTGGTTATTTGATACAATGTCGTCAGGTCTCTATCTCTCTAACCAACAGCCTGTTCTGCTTCACTTGCCAGTGTTTCGTAGAAGTGTGTTTTGTCTTTGCGTGCACTCTTCTTCACTTCTTTGTCCATTGTTTTATACATTGTACTCAGATCCTCTTTTCGTTGTGCATCCTTGCATTAGTTCATCTTCTGCTTCGCCATTCTCATCTCCGTGCTCCATCAGCTTCCATGTATCCATCGAGATCCATTCCTTATCTTCTTTCTTCCTAATACGGTTGTGAAGGTTTCTTTCCACATCTCTTTCAAAGACTTCCAGTGTTCTTCCACACAGGTTTCTTCAGGGATGTTCCTCGATATCTCCCATTTTGTCTTGGTGGATAACGTGAAGATTTCCTTTGTAGTTTCATTCTTCAGTTTCCGAGTTTTGTACTATGACTGCGGTCTATCACCAGCTTCCTTGAAGGCTTTTAACTTGATTTGAAGGGTTCCTTGCACTAGATAGTGAGTGGTGTGAACCTACATCTGCTCCTCTTCTTGATCTTGTGTGACTGCGCCTCCACTTTCTTCACATTTAGATGAAGTCGATCTGATTTTTTGTGTGTCCATCTGGTGAAATCCATGTCGCTTTGTGGATATCCTTGTGCTTGAACACACTGCCTGACTCCTATCACTAAATCGTTGGATGCACAGAATTCTGCAAACAATTCTCCATTCTCGTTCATCACCTCATGGAGCGCTTCTCGACCCATGGTTAGTTCTCTTCCTGTGTTATCCGCTCCCAGTTTGGCATTCATGTCGCCCATTAGAATTTTGATGTCACCAACTGGGGTCTTGTCCAGTGTTGATTGCAGTTGTCTGTAAAATACCTCTTTTCTCTTGCTCTGCATTATTTGTAGGTGCATAGCATTGTATGACTGTGACCTTCCTTCCTTTTGAGTTGAACCTTGCTGTCATGATCCTGCAGGAGGAGATTGGCTCCCACTGCATGAGAGCCTTCGATGCTCTTGGGAGAGGGACATCATGTTAGCCACTCCCTCAGTGTGCTCGTGGCTGTCGTCTGGTTGACAATATCGGAGTAGATTATTGACTCTCGTCTCCAGTTGAGAGTTTGGAGAGTCCACTTCCATTCCATCTGCTTTCGCATATTCCTAACACTTCAATGTGATACCTTCTCATCTCATTTGCAGTGTGGGCAGCCTTTCCGGCTAGGTTCATACATGGTGCGGACATTCCATGTCCCCATTCTTACTTTCGCTTTCAAGGAAGGAGAGAAGACACATGGGCCAATTGGCTTCTCGAAGGCTTTCACTAACCGTCGTCATTTCGCCTCTTCGATTCCAGTGAGGAGTAATTTCGTCCTTATTTTTTGTATTTTGTTTGTGCTTTGAAGTTTCTTTAGCGATTAGATTTGCTTTACGGGGTAGGGTTGCTAGCCCTATGCCCAACCTTCCCTGTTTACCCGGGCTTAGGACCGGCTAGTAACACTAGTGAACTGGTTAACCAGGCGAGTTAGTTACTTTTAATACTTACAGAGGTTTTCAGCCTTTTGGACTCCTGTTTTTGAAATTGATGGCTAACAATTTCAACCTAAAATAATTCATTGCTATTTACTGACTTATATCATGGAAAACTTAGGTGTACATAGGAATGCATTTCCAATCATTTGGTGTATATCATTTCAAAGGAAGTGCTGTTTGGAACTAATAAATGGTACGATTCTGAAAATGATTCAAGTGCCACTTAAGTTGCCCATGATATCATTTAGCCAAAGGGTACTTAGATAATAATATTTATCACTGCACGAAACATAAAGACAGAGGACATAAAATTTGAGTGAGAGTGATAAGCTTTTCAACTTCCAAATAAATTTGAGTTGATGATCAAAATTAAAGTCCGTATGAATGTTTGTGTAGAATATTATTTCAAACTGTGACATGCTCCTTGACCATGCAAAATTTCCTTGAAGTTTAGTTAGTAAACTCATATATATGACTGCATTACTTTAGAATCGTTGTTTTATTGGCCCCTTATTCGACCATCATTATCTGATATATATTCGTCGACACTATTATGTCTTCGTCGCCAACGGACAGTTATATATCCCGAACGAATATAATACGCACGCTTAACTGACAGCTAACTTAGTACTCAAGAGGCACTGACTGCAACCTCGAGACGAATAGAGAGAAGACCGAAGTTGGATGATAGGAGAGTTTATTCCTCCGAGAATATAATAAACAATCAATCCCGAAACACGTGAATCAGTACACACCTGAAAAATGACCTTGTCCGCAATTTGAGACATTGGCATAGTAAGAGTAAGGATTAACCAATCAGCAAATTACATTACAATTCAGGCAGAAAATAAACTACTAGTCATACCGTAAAAAATGGTATGAAAATGCCACATTAAAAATGTTCAGATCAATAATAATGTTTTGTTCAAAACTAGGGCTTCAGGACATTATCCATCATAAAAAAGCACGTACACTTGACATTCATTCTACTTTATCTAAGCAGTGTCCTCTCAACGAGAAAAACTCAATACTTTGACTTTAGCTATGCAAAAATCTTATGCCAGTATAAAATGTATTAACTCAGA